CCTTGCTCGCCAATCCACTTGATCGCCTCCTGCTTCTTTCCGAGCTCAATTGCTTGACACATGGTCGATTTCAAAATAGCGGCCCAATGCTAAGGTGTTTACAGTGGCCTTTTATTTGAAGAGGTCTTTTAATCGAAGCGGCCTTTTATTTCTAGAACATTGTCGAAAAATCGATGGGGGTTTGTAATAGTAGAAGGTCTTCTATTCGTAAAAATCCGTTAGTTTGAGGTTTCCGGGATCTTTACCTTTGATGAGAAACAAAAAGGGTTGTCTAGCACAACACGCTCCCTTGGTGAATGGCCCCTAACCCCCTTTCTATTTTGAGCCTTGGACGTTGGATACTAATCAACAAGAACTGGGAATAGTGTTTTTTTGCTTTGAATTTCAAGTCGTGCTTTATGTTTCACAAATTCTAGCGTGGAACGCGTTCCAGCCGGACGTCGGCTTCACTGAAGTTGACTTGCAAAGCTGTACAAATGATGTGAATTTCTCACTTGAATGAGACCGATACTGCGCTTTAGCCCGCATTCAGTACCCTAGTTACGGCTTTCGCGGGGTGTGAGGCTTTAATCGTCTACTACTGTTTCAAGCGCAGGCGATTCTAATGGGCAATGACGACCTGATGGGTCTGAAATCGCTCGTGAGACGCCTTTTGAGCGTCGTTTCGCACTTTCTCATGGTTGATGGACCGCATGTTAGTGCTCCGCCCAAGCGCGATGAGCAGCTTCAAATTCAATCATGACATGAATGAGTCTGCAATAGTCATTGCGACTTGTTCGCATGCAGTTGGGCAACCTCGACTTGCTAACCTTGGTCCAAATCATTAGTAACGAGCTGGACGACGTCATGAGTACTACGGGGGGTGCTGGGCACTTTTCACAGAAACAGAATGCAAAGTATGTGCAGGAGAGGCGAGGCGGCGCTCAAGCATTCGGTGAACAGCTCCACGATGTGCCTCTTGGTTAGGACGGAGATTTCAAATTATGACACACGGATTCACTTTACCCGCTTTTGAACACTGCGACCTCTTCACCGACAATTGCTTAGGGGTCGACCTCCGCAAAAGCCACGCCGTTTTCAGGGGGTCATTAAGCCGCGGGGTCACGGCAGAAGACTCCCCATGCGGATGAAACTCGCAAGATCATACATATTTTGGTACAATGGTGAGAAAAGATGTTCAAGCGCAGTTGGTGCGCGTGATGCGTTCATTTTGCACAAAAAATTAAGCTAATAACTGTGAGCTTCACTGTAGTTTACATCTTGGTGGTTGCTGTATTACAGCGCTGACCCGCTTGACACTCAATGTGTAGTGGTGCCTCATGAGAAAGACTCGCAGTACAAAAACTCTACGAGACCCTTTCAAGTGGGAGAGATGTAACCGGGTATGCACCGTATTATAGCTTCTGTATACGGGTTACACGTACCCGTGTATGAAAGGGCGGGTCGCACAAGATGGTGTGACCGTACATAGGTGTGGATTACACGATTTGGTGTAATCACACAATGGTGTGGCTAAACCGTAACAAGAAGCCATTCATTTTCTATATTTTTGGTCTCTTGTTTGATGGTGTCGATAAGTGTACCTAGATAAATATTGGGACTAACCCATTACATAGAATTCTTGGCTTTTGACAAAAACGGTCATGGGTTGCTATACGACGTTGCAGACGTTCAGCGATCAGGATGCACAAGGAGCTGCCGTCGCGTACGACGCAGATTCTAATGCAAAGGACTCTTCTGATGCTGCTAGCAATGTTAAGGGTGGAAAGCTTGTCGTTAATCGCGTGGACAATGTATCTGGCAGCTCTGCGGGTGCCGGTAGCGGCGAGTTCCACACGTACCGCGCTGCCAGGAGACGGTACGAAAGTAGCATTGCCGGTTTATAGAGACGAGAAATTTAATTGTTTGTCGCCTTCAGGGAAATGGATCGCATTGCGAGTATGGAACAGCAGTACAAGGATAATAAGGCACAGCAAGAATTTGAGGACAAGCGCAAGCGTAAGGCTGAGATATTCGAAGCCAAAATGCAAAAGCGCACGGAAAAGCGACGCCGTCGAAAGGAGCGGGCCAAGGCAAAGACTTCTGAGATAGAGTCGGTGGTAAATACTGTATTAAGCAAAGAGAAGATGCTCGAAACGCCAGGAGGAGTCCCGGAGATTCCCAATGATGGAAGTTTTCTGGAAACGATGCTCGCACTGCAAAAAGAAAGGAAGAAAGAGGAGAAAAAATAAAGTTTATTCAAAGTGCAAAACCCTTTTGATAGTACGCTGTGAATAGAAGCAGCACCTAGCATAAGATTTTAGTTATCGTCCTGAAAGATAAGTGCGACACCGCGTAGTACCCACTTGGCACTGCCGCAGTCGGTCGGCAACGTCGCAAGGAAGATGTACGTATGGCCGCGAAAACGAGTTAGATATACTGGGCACTCGTAGATATTTGGATCGTGACGTAAGTAGCCCACCGAGGAAGGTTCCCAAGTTGGAGACGTAGTCACGGCCTTGACGTACATGACTGGCATATTCCAAAGTAGCTCCTTGGGTCGACTGTCCAGCAACGAGCCCCCACACTCAGTAGGCGGTGTCGTTCCGACAGAATAGCGATCATTAATTTCTTCCAGCGTGCTCCATCGCGCACCCTCCAGAATAAGTCCATGCACAAATACACCGTCATCTGGATAACATGAAACAGCTGAAGGATCCTGAATTGTGGTTACGTGTGTCTCCACTGTCATTCGGTTTAAAGGCATGAACCGTTTTCGTGATGTAACTTGCAGACACGCCGTCGTGTACGCAGTGGGATTGAAGAGACCCGGCAACCAAATAGAATACGGAGTGACAAAGCAGTTTTCTCCTCCTCCAGTAGTGTCACCAGTCCACATACTAAGCTGTTCATGACGCTTCACCATATCAGCAAACCAGCCGCTGAGCGACTTCGTCGACGGCCAAGCCTTCTTCTCCCATTTACACTGCGAGAAGGGGTTGCGTCCAGGTACTTCGTTTAACGACATTGCTGTGGCCAAGTCTTCCATCGCTTGCGACATATTGAGCTGTCCATTTAAGCCCTTTTTAAGATCGCCAAGGGATAATCGGATTTCCTGTAGTAGAACGTTCATACGGCTACATTCCTGTAATGCTACCACCACAAACGGACCGTGTTCTTTAGTTAATTGAGGCGTTGCAGCTTCAATCACGTCTAGCATGTTAAAAGACTCGGGACAACGCGATCCTAAGTCGTCGATGAATGCACGCAGTGCTGCCGTCTTGTCACCTCCTCCTTCCTCTCCACCACCTGTACCACCACCGACAGTCACAATCGTGTAACATAGTGTCTCACAAGTTGTAGTAAGATAGCCAATTTCAGCATTCGGGTGAAGGCCAAAGAGAGGCGGTGCCTCAGGAACCATGTCTTTTTCAATGTAGTTTGCGAAGTCAGCAAACGAAAACTCGTGCGGGCTTGGAGACTTAAAGCCTGGGCCTAATTCCATACCGTTTAGTAGCTCCGGATTTATAAGAACCGCCAAGTATGTATTGTTAGTACGACGATCCCAGGCATCCGTAATGTGACCACCATACATGATCTCACCAAACAGATAGCGCAGATCGTCCCACGGAACGGAGGCGTTGTTGTCCAGATACGAATGCAAAATATTAGCACATATCGTGAGGTCTCCTGTGTTAAAGCTGTAAGCTCGACTCCACCCTTGCTGTCCAAACCGTCTTCGTCCCAGCACAATAGCGTGGAACCAACACAGAGCAAACAAACAAGACTTGAATTCTTCTGGTTTAGTGCAAGCCTGTATCTTTTCTTCATCAAAATTCGCCCAGGCACGACGCAGATTTGACTGGATATCTGACGGTGCCTCGTTCGCTACCTTGATACAGCTTTGAAGCAGTGACTCAGGAATATTCAGCATGTCAGGAAGTGGAGGGGGTTCAGCCGAAATGTAGCATCGAAAGAGATCGTGAGCACCTTCAATTGCAACCTCTTCCAGTTGGCGCTCGAGAGTTGGCAACCACGATTGCATCAAATGCACATTTTGCAAGATTATCCAGCCACCCTCTATGCTTAAACGCTTCAGCGCTTCACCTGCGTACGCTTCCTGGCCTTGCCCCATCGATATATTAATGAAATTGTTGTTTTCCAAACTCACTCCATTAGATCTTCCGAGCGTTTCCACCCATGGCGTTGGATCAACACCCGGGAATAGGACAAAAAAAATAGGAATGCTTGAGTTTGTCTCTGCGTACGTCGCCTCCATGCTGAATGGTGGCTGATTGATATAATCTTCGCCTATGGATTCAAGAATGAAAGTTCGAAGTGCACTGGTGACGCGATCAGGTCGCATGGCACGCAGTAAGATCAGTCGTTGGAAAGCAGACAATTTTGTAAATTCACCAGGCACTTCCTGTCGCTCAACATCTTCACTCGCAAACCACTTTCGCCACTCATCAGGATTATTCTGAATGCCGTCTCCTAGACCTTGAAAAGCTTTGACATTTTCGAGTGCTTTCACTTTACCCCAAATGGCTGCAGGTAGCCATTCCGAAGCTGAACCAGCATTTCCTGCATCTGGGTGGGCTTTGCTGATGAGAAAATACTCGACCTCAAAATCGTTTAACAACCCATCTTTTAGCAAAATCTTGAAACATAGCATTGTTGCTACCGTTAGTTTGTTTCGTTCAAAAAGTCCACGGCGAACGTAGTTGTAGACACACAATGTGATGCTGTCCATGAGTACCTGGCAGCGTTCGTTCATCTCTTCATTAGTGAGGTCCAAAAGAGTAAGATCAGTTTCAGCAGCAATATCGTCTCCTATGCCCCCTTCACTTCCCGTCGAAGTTTCAGGTACAGGTGCACTCTCACTTTCTGTTACAACATCCTCATCGCAAATTGTGGGTTTTTTTAAGAGTGGAGCGCGATATATACCAGACAAGAAAACTTGCTGGAACGATGCAAGGGAGTAGATGTAGTACGAATGCACCTTGCTGATGTCATTCATAAGAAAAAAGAGCAAAGAGCCTCGCGCAGCGATACGGCGGTATTTTTCACTAGTAATGTTTACCGACTCTTGTGTTTTCTTGGCGACCTCCATATTGATCTGTGTACGTTGTGCTTTGTGTTTAGTGTCACTTAAGATCTGAATCAGAGGTTGGTTGTTCGTGATATCGTCGTCGGCACTTGCGAGATAGAAAAGAATATCATCTTCCAGTTTTTTTAGCTCGATTTTACCATTGTTTTGTTCTTGAATCAATTCTTCGCGCTTTACAGCAAGATCCTGACGCTCTTTGGATACGACAAGGTTAAGCAACTGGTCCTCCAGTCCGAGCATTGTAACTGTAAAATTTACAATGGTACACTCTGCTTGAATTTCAGGTGGGTAATGTGGGTTGCCCAGCTTCGTATGCAAGTACAAGTGAAAGTTATCATTGTACGGCACGGACGCATCACCAATCTGGATTTCGTAGCGTGCACCACGTCGTGAGGTTGAGCGCTGAATCACAGGTGCCAAAATCGGATCAATCTTTTCCCCCAAATTCTCGATTAAGAAAGCACCATCGGTACCGATAGCTGTCTTAAGGCGCTCAATCCACCTTTTTTGTCCTGCTCGAACAATAATGAGGTTGTTGTGCGCCTCCATTTCACGAATCCATGCGATTGCTTGTAATTGTGGGTCTACAATAAGCGGGCGACGTCCCATAGATACCGTAGTGACTACAATGGCCCCATTCTCACTAGACACACGGTCGGACGGCAACTTTTGAGTGTTCCACTGCGCAATCTGAGCATCATTCGTCAGAATGACAAGTGGGTTCGCTTCTTCAGACATGGCAATGCTTTTTCCTCCCGCAGCTGTCAGTAAGAATGGCATCCAATGTTTAGTGATTAGTTCGTCACGGAACGGCTTCGTGAATGGACCAATGTAAGAGATGAAGGCCGAAGCAAGTAGCACATCACCCACTAGTAACTCTTTTTCCTTCTGAAGTTGCAACACATTAATACCCCACCGATCGTTTTCACTAGAGAGATCATTTGTTAGTGTGCCTGCAAGCTTCATCTTACGGTTGCCGATCTCAACAGCATTAATTGCGTCTTCCTTCTCTTTATCAGCTGCAGCGGCTTCGGCGAGAAGCTTGTCTAGCTTTGCTTGCAGTTCTGCAACTAATGCTGTCACTTCGATTAGACGTGCATTTGCAGCCTCCAATTCCAAGTTGGCAGCAGCCAAAGCCTGACGCTTTGGCTCAACGGTGATGACGATGTCGTAGTACATGACAATGTTGATCACCCAAGAGCACAGCCCTGCAGCGGCTTTGTTTCTTGTGAGAATTGTGTCATAATTAAAATGTTCCATTTCCAAATACGCGCGTACTTCTTTCCAATTTGTGGTGGGTACTTTGCCTTCGTCAACCACTTGCTTGAAGCCAACCAGATACTCAATGTACTCAGGAATGTTCCCGAGAAGCTGCTTTTTAACGGTGTCCCACTTGACATCTTTCACCTTACCGGTCTTGGTGACTTGCACATTTGGATGCACACCAGCGAGCAGAACCATCGTCGCAGAAAAGACATCGTCTACACCAGCTGGGGGCTTTGACATGGTCTTACACTCTCCCAGATCCTTTTTGTTTAAGGAGTCCAGTGCAGCCATCGCTTGCTGGACAGCAGGTTCGGCCTTTGCAAGATCCTCCTGCGTCGACCTCTGCTTTTCGGTCACTTCTGTCTGAATAATTGCGCACTTCGCAGCTTCGTCGCTTGCGTTTTTGCTTTCAGTTTCTACATTGACCTTTTCCTTATTCACAGCCTCGGCAATACCAGACGCCACAGCTTTCTTGTCTTCAGCAGCCTCGAGAATGACCTTAAGCTCTACTTCAAGCCGTGACACTGTATCTCCAGTTTCCTTGAGTTTCAACAAGCCTTTTTCTAAGCGATCAATGGCCGCCGCATACTCTCCAACTTTTTTACGCAAAATCTTTTTATACAATTGAAGCAGCTCTAAATATGACTTAGGTGTCGTATAAACGTGACGGCGCTCTGTCTGGAAGAACCGCTCAGCACACAAATTTACTGATTGGTACGAGAACGGCATAAATCTCTCGATTCCTACGCGACATTCATCAGGTCCTAACAAGTCACCTATCTCCTTCAACTTCTCGGAACCGACAGAAAGAAGAGCCTCTTTTGGCCATGGCTGAAACCAGTCAATGACCGTGCAGTTGACTAGAGCAGGGAACTTACGCGCACGATTGCGAAAATCATCACCGACAGGTGAAAAGCACAGACACAAGTGAAGTCGCTTTCGAATTTCAGCTTGAAAGAACTTAATAACTTCATTTCGGTCTTTCGTGCCCGCAACTGGCGACAAGAGGTTGACAATATTGTCCGTATCTTCAAGAGCAAATAGATCCGGGATCTCACCAGAGGCAAGCAGATCATTTAAATAGATAAGAAACTTTTCGTTTGTAATTTGAGAGTCTGTGAGCAAGAATACAACACCTCCACTCTCTTCATTACGTGACAACATATCGACCACTGTCATGTGCATCTTGCGCAGATCATCCTTAAATTCATTTTCACCGTATTTAGAGCTGATAGTGATCTGACGAACGGTATAGCCACAAATGTGCGAGGCCAAACGAGCTAATGATCGCTTTCCACTACCTCCCACACCTACCAGTAGGGCGTGACCACTCTCGTTTTGCAAAATACGAACAATGCGAGCGACATGTTTAACAGCATCGTCGAATAGATCAAGCTGCATCGCAGTATTATTTTCATTATTGTTATAATCACGTAGATGAGCATGTAGATTCGTCTTGAGATTGTCTAAATTTGTGCCCACAACTTGGTCGTACTCGGAATCTCCATCTCTTGTAAAATGGCAAAAAATGAGGGGCCAACAGTTCTCTGCTGCATAATATCGACTGATATTGCACGATGTAAACGACTTCTTTATTTGTACTTGTGAAAGTTGATTATACTTTTCGATATCAGTCTTTGACACGAGCCTATCGCCGTACACACGTTCACTCTCATGCAGCCACAAAAACACGAATTTTTCCTGACTGTAAAATCGATCCTTTTTAGAGGCAATCAGCCCTTGAAACACACTAGATAAGTGGCGAACATTAAATTCATAGTGGAAGTTTGCCGCCGTTTTTCGAAAAGTACTCACAACACTAGCATGTAAGCTCAACGCAGCCTTGATTAAAGCGTTAATGAACTGCGAGTTGCTCAATTCATCTACGAATCCCGACAGATGCCCACCCAGAAAGGTTTCATATATCGTGACTAAGCTTGGTGCTTCCGGCATACCCATAGCAAACGTGCTGAAGTGACGTTGAAGTCGCGGGTCAATGAGAAAAGAACCAGCAGTGGGATTCATACCAGAGACCACCTGCGCATTCATGATGTTCTGTGGTAGTAGCTTAACGCGGTCAAACCAATGCCTGTATTCCATTACTTGACGTAACAGTGAAATAGCACTCTGTGTGTTAAAAGGATCAACCTCGGGTAGATTTAAATCATCCATAAAATAAATCAGACGTGTCTTTCCGGGTGGACCCAAGTTGATACCCGTTTTACGCTCCAGCTGTCCAAACATTGTTTGCTGCAAGATCGCACTTGTCGTGTAAAAGTTAAAATTAATGGTGCTGTAGCGATATGCTGTGGCCGTTTCATCCTTACTAAGCTTTTTCAACATGCCCATAATATTTTGAGTTTTACCGGTACCAGCTGGTCCACACACCATCACTGGAACGTTGTTTAAGATCAGTTTCTCAAGCCAGAATCCAACTGATGCCGTCTCTGTGGTCGGTACCGTGATCTGGTTAATTGGACTAGGGGATGTGTACGTCTCTGTATAAAAATATGGGCTTTTGGACCATGATGTAAACTTAGAAGTCTCAGGATCCAACCAGAAATCATATACCGTGTTGCTTGCCGAAGCTACCAATTTAACATTCTTCCATTGATTCTTCCACCAGTTACTAAAGTCGGCTGAGTAGTCCGTACCATCATCACCTATCGTAAGGATGGATCCGAATGACCACACGCAGCAAAACACAAACACATTTTGCGTCGCATTATAATCTGATAGAATTTGAGGAGTTAATAGACAGTCGATCATGTTAAGCAACGTGGTCACGAGCGTCGTTTCTTCTACGGGAACCACCGGGACAAGCTTCTTGCGAAAAAATTTTAGAGTAGATTCGATATACTGATCGAAAAGTCCTTGAAATTTAACGCGTGTGTCGGCAGTGAACAGTACATCAGTCTGACGAGGGTCGATGGGTTGTTGACAGTGCCGATCAAGCCAGCTATTAATCAAGCAGCGCCATTGATATCCCTCCGACGTTGATATGTACAGAATTCCAGCACGTGACACGGTAGCTGGCGTGGCGTACACAAGATCACGGATCTCAAATATCATTCTCATGTGTGCTTTTAGTGGAATACGCTCGTTTGAAGCCAGCGTGAGCATTCTGTTATCGTCCATGACAGAGTTCATCGACTCAATCCAATTTGCATCAAGATCTCCATCCAGAATAATCCATTTGGGGTTTAAATCTTCATCGCCGTTGTCACGACGACGAGAGCCCAGATCACGCATAATACGGGATAAAAGACCATCTTTCCACTCACGCGTCTTGAGCACAATATATCCGTAGAGTTCGTTAGTACTAACGGACTTAGGATTTAAGTCTTGCGTCTCCACCGGTGTGCCCATGATCTCACGAGCTTTTTTCAGTGTTTTCCACGTTTCCGTTTTGCCAGAGGCGGGTGGTCCCATAACGAAGACGCAGTGACGTATTGCAAGCAATTCTGACAATTGTACGACTTTGAGCATGAATTCGGGCCGAGGTGTGTTGCCAATCGATTCTGAAGCACCCTGCACCATTGATTCAAGCTCCATATCGCGCTTTCGTGGGGGGTCATTGCGTACGTCCACATTTGGATTGTCGCGCGGGAAAAGATCCCCGAGAAGACCAAAGAAGACAACCATGTCTTCTGCAATAATCTTTGGAATGTTGAAATCTCGTAATGCACGCATGAGCAAATCGGTTTCAGGTATGTCTGGCTCGGCACGCTTGAAAGCACCAGCGACACATAGCACGCTCTTCACAGCTCGAAGGCCCCAGTCGTAGTGCAGCTGTTTGGACAGAAGCTGGCCAAGCAATGAGTACAAGCCATAAAACTTTGACGCCAAAACTTTAGCCTGGGTGAATCCTTCTGCCATCAACATATTCTCGCAAATCAGCACGAGATCGGGTACCATAACAGTCATTGGTCGAAACAATGCTTTAAGGCCTTCAGGCAGCTCGGAGCGACCAAGGTATCCGGGATTCATCGTAATGAACGCACCAACTGTTGGGTCGAGCGTTACTTCGTCGTTCTCGAGTACAAACCTATCGTCATCAGCTCTACATGCATCACACACGGCCTTAAATTGAACAGAACAGACCGAAAGAACTTCTGGAACCAGGCGATTAAACTCGTCAAAACAGCCCCAAGATCCTGATGACGCGAGACCTTTAAAAATGTTTCCTAGACTCTTGAAGTCCATTTCAGGCGAGCAGTTAAATACGTAACAGACTTTTCCAAGAGCGTTTGCTAGATCTTTCGTTGTCTCTGTCTTGCCAGTCCCTGCAGGGCCAGCGGGAGCACATCCCATCTGCAAATTTAGTGCCTGTGTCGCCGTCACATATATTCGATCTGTGAGCGGAGTAATTACAAGTCGAGGGCCGTTGCCAAGATATTCGTAGTCATACGGGATCCCAGCGTCACAAATTAGTATTTGAGCACGTGCGTCGTTAGCTCCTCGAAAAGTCATATCCCGCTTTAGAAAACTTCCTGCTGCGGGTGAAAAGTAGTGTTTTAGCTGAGACTGCCACTGGAAGTGAGTTGCTTCCTGCACTCCTGCACGTATCATGTTTGCCACAATGTCTCGACCGTGAGCATCCATCGTAATAAGCACCATCACACGCTGTCTTTCAGCATACGAAATATCGCTCTGCGTCAGCTTTATCAGGTCCTCAAGTTGCTTCTCCTGCGTCGTATTGTAGTCTTTCAAAGCATTTTTATCACCCGCCTGAATAGAACGAAAAGAATGCTCAACTTCTTCGACATAGTGCACTCCTGCTGCGAGAAGGATAATCTGAGCTGCATCCATAGGCTTGTGGCTTTCGTCTCGAAAGTTGATCCAATTAACGCGAGGCATTTCTGTATAAGCTACAAGTGAACGCTCTATATGCTTAAACAACGTCAACCTCATCGCACGCATAATAGTCTCCAGATAAATTTCGGCCTCTCCTTCCAGTATTGGAGGCTCAAAGAAATCAACAATCTCATGCCCAACACCAGCAACAAAAGATGTAGCGAGTGGCCGTTTGCCGGGTCCGCGATCCATAAGTGTAAGCGTCTTGGTGGCCAGGTAAATCTTCGAGCAGTGAGGCATGATGCGCTCGGGGTGTGACCCATTCGACAAAATATCTAGCAAATCTGCCTCTGACATGAAGTAAAAGCGGGGAAACTGGCGACGACGCCCGTCAAGGAACTCTTTGAGGCGGTGCTTGCACCTTTCCAGTTTTTCGACGATAATCTCTAAGCGTTTAATGAGACCTGGTTCCGTACATGAAAGCTGCACATTTAACGTCTTCAAAGCACTTTTCAAAATTTGGCGAATCTCCCTATCAATTTCTTCAAAGTCTGTCGTCAGCTCAGGCAACTGCTTCTTCACTTCTTCGGATTGAATAAATAGCGGTTCTAAATAGCTCCAAGACCTCTGAATATCGCCCAGCAGTATCACGACTTCGTTGATAGATGAGAGGCCATTTTGAAGCTTTGTAACACGAGGTTCAAATTCTGACTGGTATGGTGAAGCACTCATTCCTTGCACATCAATTTGGTGTGACTCCAGTAGCTCAAAATTTTCTTCAGATATTTTCAAAAGAGGCACAATAGCATCCTCCGCCGCCCCTGGGTTGTATGATGTAAATTCCCAAGTAACCTCCACCCAAAGACTCTCTAGCTCGATCAACCGAAGCTCAAGCTCTTGTTCTTTCTCCGCTTCGTAGCAAATCTCGCTGATTTCCGAACCAAATTTAAAAAGATTTTTATCTAGAATTACTGAAAGTCGCTGATCATGATCATCTTCGGGCACCCGAAATTCACCTGTGTGGACCATGATACGTTTCCAGTGTCTCAGACGCATATAATTTGATGACAAGCAGCGGATGAGGGGGTGAGTCTTGTCGAACGCCTGGCACTCCTGTAAGATCGAAGTATAAGCATCACACCACTGGATATCTTTCGGGATTTTCTTCAGTTCTTTCAATGTAGACTGCACTTCAATCTGGAGTGCATTCACATCAACTTCTCGAAACAAAATATCTCGCGTAGCTTTGAAAAAGGCTTTTGTCCGCTTAATGATTGCCCATACAGTTTTCATCGCGTCAACTTCTGCACGCATAAGACGCATCATGCCAAGCGTTTCATTCATTAGATGCGGAAAGCCAAATATGGAGCACAATTTTGTGTTTTCTTCGCACTTCTTCATGTCCATATTCCAGTCGACAAGATAGCTTTCAATTTTCTTTAGACCGCTGTCAGGCTCTACCCTATATGACCAAAAATCCAAAGTCTTGAGCGTCTCGACCTTCTGAGCAATCAGCTTTTCATAAGCGGTTATACTCTCTTCAGTTTTCTCACTAAATATCCGCGTTGGTTCCTCCGTGCGTTTCTGTGTTGCTGGAATCTGTTTTGTAACATCAAAAAACACTTTTTCCATACTTTCAATTTCTGCGATCTCTTTGTCGACATGGCCTCCGCATTTTTTAATGCTCATTAAAAGCTGACGGACTTGGTCCAAGACCAGGTGATTCGCAATCTTATCCATCTCAAGTTTATGAATTGTTTCTTTTACTTTTCGAATAGTCTCTAGTCCATCCGTCGCGTTAGTGGGGATATCTTTGCGAAGATCAACCAGAATTCGACGATATTCACCGTTACGCTTGTTCATCGTTGTCATCATACGCCTAATGAGCTCGGGAGAGTCAAGATCCTTCTGTGAGGCAAGTGGTGGAAGAGACTTAGATTTGTTCTCACTAGACGGATGCTGGAATACTGCGGTAAACGGTGAGCCTCGAATTGGGCCGGAGATACCACCAAATGTACCGTTGAAGTCCACTGATATCTCATACATCCCAACTCTAGATGGGGTAAATGTTACCGCGTATGTTCCATCATTCTTGTCAAAAATCAAAACAGTCTCATTTGCTTGGGTTGGGAGGTCATCACAATGCCTTGGAATCACAGTGAACTCATCTCCTCCACAGTCACGAGGATTGTCATCTCTGTCTCGAGATTGGATTATGAATGTTGTTGGTAGCTCGGCTAAGCAATTCTCACTGAGTGCAGCGATCACACAAGGACCAAACGCTAGCGACTTTGAGGCTACCGTAACTGAGTGAAAACGAAAAGAGGTCGCTATATTTGTAAACATACAGCCAGACATTGACACTCGAACCTCAGAAGTCAGTGCACCAAACTTCTCAAAGCTTGGAGTTGTTGCCTGAATGATACTAGAACTGAAGACAGCTCCTACGACATCGACAAAGCCTTTTGCAGCTGCAAACCGCAAGGTTGCATTTTGGCCAGTAAAATTAGATCCCATCACTTTCACTTTTGCATTCCCTGTGACAGGACCAAGTCTTGGTTCGATTGAAGAGATTGAGTATGGAGGTCCAATAATTTCACTCGCGTTGAGAACGTGTAAATCGTTGTACCAGCGATTTGCCCATCCTCCAAAAAAGATTAAGTGGTTAGACTGTGCATCAAAAACCATAGTAGTATCTGCACGAGCTTTTGGAAGGTTGCCTTTTACCAATGGTTTTCGCCACACCATACTGCCCGTATCCAGCACGTAAGTGCTATTCAAAAACACTCCTTGCGCAGTTCCAGACTCGGCTAGATCACCGCTATTACCGCCAAATAAAAACACTTTCCAGTGCGGTACAGCTGCAACACTCACACATGTATGATTCCAGATCGGAGTAAGCAGCGATGTGCTCAACACACTCCATGTCTTTGTCGGTAAATCGACGATAAAGATGTCTTGGAACTGTTTGAAGCTATTCCACCCGCCAATGACGAGCAAACGTTGATTGACTAGGCATGTTTGGTGCCCCGAGCGAGGCTCAGGTTTCTCCCCCTCCGTTTGAACTTCTTGCCATTTGAATGAATGCAAATCCAACACATGAAGATCATTAAAGTCGGTGCGACCAAAGCCATTTCCTCCGTAGCCCCCGAACACGTACATTTTATCACCAACAAGCGTGGCACTATGGGCTCCACGGCACTGAGGAAGCCCTTCCCAAAAGCTCTGAGCATATTTTTGTTCCCAGATCTTCTGTTCGGTGTCAAAAATCCATAAATCATTCAATCTCTTTTCAGCCGCAAAACCGCCAAAGATTAAAATGTCCTTCTTGAAAAGAATGGCGGAATGCCGCCATCGTGGTACTGGTATCTCGTCTCCACTCTGCATGCTTGTCACCCTAGACCAAGTGTATCCTATAATTAAAGCAGATATTGTAAAATGCACATAGCACGATCCCAAAGCTCAACAATTCTCTACCGTTCGTGACGTCAAGACGGTAAAAATCATTGGTAGGACCTGGTGGTGATTTATGGTCGCAGCCGCCGAACATATAGATGATAGATTCTGTCCCGGAACTTTTCAAAGTGAAAGAGTGTCCAGACCGCGTAATAGGAACTTCCCCATTCTGTTTTGGCGCGACCCACGCCAGCTCTGGCTCACATCCGTACCCGATTGGCTGTCAAATGTGAACGGTAAGAACATAATGTTTTACCAACATACTCACCCCAGCAAGTAAACATTAAATGTAGGCACCATTTTAGCTCTTCGTATCGACAAAAAACTTTTGTCTTTTGTGATCACGCTATCTTGCAGATCCCAATGACTTGATTAAGGGTGCTTCAAAGGCTTGACAAGAACCGTCCACAAAGATCGCTGTAAAAAATCTCATTGAAGAGACGCGACGAGTCATACAGAATTAAGATAATCACAACGCATCCGTTACTTCTACTTCTGCTTGTTTCAAAGATGTAAGTGTACTATCAGCTAAAATTGACTGGTAAACCACTGATCTTCAAAGCGCATGCTTTATTTCATTGCGGGCAGAGCTGCAGTCACACATCTCAAATCAATATGTTAAGACGCGCAACACTGTCTGCGAAGGGACATTCCCCCCATTGCACCATCCTGGTCTGACCTTTTCTATCCAATCAATTGTTAAACTTGAAGAAAATAATGTCACCGTCCTGGACCTCGTACTTTTTTCCCTGCTGCTTAAGCTTGCCAGCCTTTTTGACCGCCTCTTCCGAGCCCACTACACTCAAGAGTCATTGGAGAACGTTATACACAAGCTCAACACGAGCAAGACTTTTAAACTTTTAAACGTACGCTCTTTCAGGTCAGCAAATGCCTGGACCTCTGCCATAATAAAGCCCTTCTCGAAATCTGTGTGGATAACACCGGCAGCCTGGGGTGCAAGTCGTCCTTTACGAATTGTCCAGCCGCGAACTTCGTCTTTGCCAGCTGTGAAAAAGTGGATGAGGCCGAGCGCATGATAACCCATGCGAAGCACACGGTTAAGTATTGACTTGTGCGTCGGGTTTTCGCTTGAATACTTCTCAAGTTGGCCGGCAGCTTCAAGGTCGAGAAGCTCCAGCTCAAACTCGCAACTTAGTGGAATCACAGGCTCGTTGCCGCCACGTTCTTTGATAAATTCGGCGATCTGGGGGAGGTACTTGTTGCTCTTTCGCAGATAATCACGCTTACTGACGTTAATGAGATAGACAACAGGCTTAGCAGTCAGGAGCTGCATCGTGTTTAGAATCTCAACCTCTTGAGCCGACCATGTGCCGAAAGACACATCTTTGCCCGATTCGAGCCACTCAAGAATTTTACACAGGGCTTCGTACTCGAGTTTCTTTTCCTTCCCACCAACACCGCGCTCGGCGAGTTTTTTTACGCCCGCTGACTCCTTTTTAACGCGCTCAATGTCTTTAAATCGAAGCTCTTCCTGAATAATCTTCATGTCCCGCACGGGGTCCACGTTGCCTTCCACATGAGTAACTTCAGTGGAATCAAAGCCGCGCACCATGTGATAGATGGCATCTACGGCTTGGATATGCGATAAGAATGCATTCCCTAAACCGGCACCTTCTGCAGCGCCGCGCACAAGACCAGCAATATCCGTGATAGAGATGACGGGGGGTACAACGCTTGCAGGTCGGTACTTGTCTACAAGCCAGTTGAAGCGTTGGTCGGGTAGTGGCACAACAGCGTCATTGGGATCAATGGTACAAAACGGAAAGTTCTCGGCAGGAATGTTAAGCTTGGACAAACAGTTGAAGAACGTGCTTTTGCCAACGTTAGGAACACCAACAATGCCTATCTTAACATTATTACCAGGGCGACCCAAGTACGTGCGAGTAGGCTACGAAGAAGAGACAAGAGGGTTAGTTAACAATGTGTTTATAAGGTAGTTTCTCCATCACTTATTGCCTCTTCAGCTTTTTTTCCCTTCGGGGGCATGGTGATGAGTTTCGATGCAGAAATAAGCGAATGGCGCAGAAGAGTATAAGAAATAATCCTTTTAAGAGGGTGACATCAATAAAATACGGTACTTTAAGGAGCTGCGTTTTAAAAAAATGCAAAGCAAACAAACTCTATAGAGTAGCCGCACTCGATTCAGCAGTGCCTCCAGATTTGACCTGCTGTGCCAGCCTATTTGTTTCTGTATACAAAAAGCGCAGCAAGCAAAGAATTAGCAAGAGACCACGCACAACACAACAGTAGCATTGTGCGGACAGGATACATACCAGCCCTTCTCTTGGCCGCAGCAACACCGAGGGCTATACAAACAACTGCCATGACACCCAGGAACACACCTATACCTAGAAATATAGCCTGGGGAGCTGTGTCCGAGCTGCTAAGTGTCGCGCAAGAGCTAATATCCTTCACGCTGCAGTCCGTGCCAGTATAACAAGACAGGCAACTGCAAGACATCGTGCCATTTGACTCCTTGCACTGCCCGTTACCACCACAGTCAGACGTGGTCTTGCACATGCCTCCTCCGCTGGTCACCACATACGAACCGCAAATATCTTTCTGGGTTGTACCAACAGTACCGCTAATATGCACATCACAGGTATCACCATCATCCGTGCAGACCACGCCTTCGCGGCTGGAGCATGTCCACGAGTCCGTGCTGGATAGCTTCAAAAAGCTCGCCGAGCAGCTACTTACAATCCAGCCATTCTCGGTTGCCAGTTTATTGCTCGGCTGCGTTTTTGTTTCCAGCGTAGGTTGCCACGAGCACTTGGTGCTGTCAGTCCATTTAGCGTCGTCTTTGTAGCCAGAATACTTATCGAACATGGCTTTCAAATTCGTGTAATCCCTCGTCGGCTTTGAACTTGGTGTCGACAAGAAGTCAATGCTGCCACCTACAAAAGAGTATTATGTTGGCTTACCAGCTTCAAGGCTGATGACCCAAGAAATTTGCTAGATTCCGTACCTGTGAACATCGGAAACAGAGAGTCCTTTGAAAGCTTAGCTTCACCATACGAGTAAGCCAAACCACCCGACCAAACGGCTGAGAATTTTTCAGTCTTCGAAGGTTCTTCGTACATGTAAGGAACCATTCCCCAGTCACGAGGAGTGCCCGCCGAAAGTTTACATCCGTACTCACCGAACGCAACAACGATGGGAATGCCCTGAGCCATGTCGATGTATCGCTTGAATGCCTCGGTAAACGTCGAGTCGGGGCACCAGCGGTATTCATTGATCATATATATATCGATACTCTCTGTCATCATGCCATCAACCATCCGATCTCCACAGAGCAGTCCTTGGACTTTGATGACGTGATAGTCATCTGCGTTTTCAACTTTATTGTTGCTACTGTCAGCAGCAGCATAGGCGAGCGGCAAAATACGCAACTTTTTGCCGTTAACCTTCATCCAATTTTTCAGATCAGCTACATAGGCTTTCACACATGAAGCGGACGTAAGATCTTCCTGCATGATTTCATTGGCCACAACAATGCCCAGCGTGTTGTCGTACTGGGCAAAGTTTTGAATAATCTTCTTGCCGTACTCAAGCAGCAGTGCCGGATAGCAGGTCTCGGTCTGATCTACGGTCTTCGCACCTCCGCTGGTTGATACTTTCCCAGAACAGCTTAATTTTTTGGTAATGGTCGAGTAGCGGTACTTGCCATAGTATGCGTCATTGTCAGGCGATGCCGAGACCATGACGTAAACGCCGAGTGCAGCCATGTCGGCCATAAACTTTTTGTATGAAGAGCCGGGGTTAATGTTGTACAGACGCAATGTATTGTACTGAAGACCCGCGAGATTC